AAAAAAAAAAAAAAAAAATGTCACCAGTACAGGATAGTAGAATGGTATAACCACTCTGGAAAAACTGTTTGGCAGTTTTTACTAAGGCTAAATATACCCCTACCCTATGATCCAGCAATTCCACTCCTAAATATATCAAGAGAAACGCATGCTTACGCTCACAAGGAAAGAACATGTATAAGAGGGGTCATAGCAGCTTTATTCACAAAAGCCAAAAATTGGAAACTCAAATGCCCGTGAACAAGGGAATGGACAAATTGTAATATATTCATACAACAGGGTATTACAGTAGCAATTTTCAAAAAGAATAAATTATTGCTACCAGCAACAATTTGGATGAATCTCACAGATATTTTGTTGAGTAAAAAGAGCCAGATACAAAAAGTACGTACTATATAATTCCATTTATATGAAGTTCAAGAACAGGTAAACCTAATTTATGTTGGTAGAAGTCAGAGTATTAGTTACCTACAGGGGGCGGTTAGACTGGGAAAGGGCACAAGAAAACCTTATGGGGTGCGAGCAGTGTTCTGTATCTTGATCTAAATGGCAGTTACACAGCTGTATAGATATGCAAAAATCATCCGACTGTATATATGTAAAGCGAACTGAAGATTAGTTCATTGCACATATTTCACTCTATCATATACCACAATGAAAAGATAGATGGATGGATGAATGAGTGAGTTAATGGTCATGTTTCTTAAAAGCTGCTTCGTATCTTCCCCTTCCAAATAGTGTTTCGAACCCTGGTGTCCCAAATCCTGGACCGGGCTGAGCCTCTGCCCTCCCCCAGCCTCTCCTCAGAAGTCATCACTGTTTTCCAGTATTACAGCTACTTGACCAGCCACGGTGTTAGCGACCTAGAGAGTTACTTGAACCAGCTGGCCAAGCAAGGTGGGACGTGTTCTTTTGTCACACTGTGTGGTGGCTCAATTTGAAGTTATCTCTGTTTTTTTTAGTCATAGTTTTTAGTGATAGTAATCTTTTTTTCCCAAGTCAACAGCTGGGCTGAGATTTGCCTTTTAAATGACTCTGGACTTTTAATATTAGTAAGCCTCTTGGCAATGAACCAGGAATTTGCTAAAATCATCCCAATCATCTAGCAGGGATGTACCATTAACATGAAGCTGGTAAATGATTTAAGACTCCACTGTAATTTCTTTCCTTGATTAATGTATTTGCCACTTGTAGGATCAAGCCTACAGGCAATACTATTTTACGTTGCCCTTTTTGGCACTTGCATAATACTAAGCAGAAATGGGATTCAAAAGATGGCAAATAGGATGACATATTGGGAAGGAAAATGAGGGAAAGATGGAAAACCAAATTTAGGGCTGCATATCCAGGGGATGAGGAGAATGGGCACCAATGTTGGGGTGTGCGATGAAGCTCATTATTTCCTTCTCATACGGCACTTCAAATATTAGAAATAAACTAAGTATCTGCAATGATGAAAACCTCTCTGGAGTGGAGCCAGGCAGTGAAGAGCTGGTTTCTGGTTCCCAAGTTCGTGCTGTGTAAATCCACTGAGGCTTGACAATACGGGTGAAAAGGGATGGGAATGAGGTGTGTTCTTTGGGAGCAGACAGTTTGGCCCAGCACCAGCCAGCAACCACACGTCTGGCCCAGACCCAGGCTTAGACCTTCTGTTTCCAGAAGATTAAACCCTGCGACACATCCAGTACTGTGGTTGGCATCACAGTGAGAGGAAGGAAATCTTCCTCCACCCAGCGCCACACCAGCCTGAACACGGGGGAGTCTGTGCATAGCCCCTCGTGAAAAGCGAATGCCAGCAAGAGAAAGGCTGGGCAGGAGACACTGGTTTAGGACACAGGGTATCACTTTATTATAGTCTTCATTTCTTGATACTAACTTGTCACAGTCTAAATCAATTTTCTCAGTAAATTTCTATATTACATCAGTGGCAATTGACATCTCTAAGTCTCTTATTACATATTCTTGGAGAAGGCCTGCTCATTTATCAGTAGGAAAGAATGAAATGAAAAAAGCACTAACTTTTACATGTCTTTTTTTTCTTTCTTTATAAAAGAAAAAGGCCTTCATTATAAAAAAAAATTTAGAAAACATGAAGTATAAAGGAAAAAGTTAAAATTACCCATTCTCCTACTTTTGGAATTTAATGTATTTTTCAATTGAATGTGCATGGGGTTTAAATTTCAAAATTGTGATTACTCATTATAGAGTATTACATTCTGTTTTTTTATTTGGCATTATATCCCATGTTATTAATTCTTTGAAACATTTCTTTTAGTTTTACAATATCTCTGCATTTGGATTTATACTAATATATTTGATTATTGTTGAACATTTAGGTTATTTTCCATTATGTTTTTTTAGCTGTTATACATAATGCTATCTCGAGACTTTTAATTAGGGTATTTATTTATAAAGCAGCAAAATTATCAGAATATGCATGGGAGGAGAAATAAGAAATTAAAGCAAAAAAAATCTTGATAATTCACAAACTTCTCCATTGTGTAGAGAATGCTGCTCTATCGACGGAACATGAATTTTAGCTTATATTTTCCTATCTGTACTGACCAGACACACTCCCATCCTAATGTTTTTGTGGCTAATGAATGCCCATGCTGGATATCTAGTTAGGGATTTGAGTACATTCCTTAGTCATGGAATGTGGTCAATTTGTCCAAATGGGACTCAAAATCCTATATTTTATCATATTGTCTCCATATTCCAACCAACCAACTGGGTTTCTCCATTAGGGCCCAGTTGCCTGAGTGCAGACAGAGAGGATGAAGAGTTGGGATCACTCACGGGTGTGAGCCAGACGGGTCTGACTGGAAGACAGGGACAGCAGAGATTGCTCTATCAGGAAGACTGTAAAAAGTGTTTCCTTGTATTTTCTTCACTATGTATTTTCACATTTGACGATTTATGAGGTGGAGATTTGCCTTAACATAGTTATTTGAATTATCGGTCCTTTTTTTGCTAGTTGGAAACTTCACCTTTATTATCTGCTAATTTTTCACGTATACACTTGGTCTGTTGTTATGTATATACTTGAGTCTTATTTATATTTTTAAAGAGCATGTTACTTTAATGTCAGAAGTTGAACTCTTTTCTTCCTACTCTCTAGTTTCCGTGAGTCAGACTCTACAATCACTAAGAGATGAAAAACTGCTACAGGCCATGAGTGACCTTGCGCCGGTCAGCCTCCCCGCCCAGCAGGAAGTTCTCAGGACGCTGGCTCTGCTGTTAACTGGGGACAACAGTGGAGTCCGGGAGGCTGTGATGCTTTACTTGACAGCAGCCTCCAGAAACGAGCATTTCAGGGAAAAGGTAGGACACAAAATCACGGACATCAAGCTAAAAGCTTGTTTAATTTTCTGTCATTTACTATGAATATTTTGTCATCTATTTTTTTATAAAAATAGTTTTCTTCTGCTTATTAATAATATATACTCTGTAAAACAATTTAAACTGCAAAAATATTCTATAAATAGTTAAGTGCCTGTAAGTCCAGCCCCCAGAAAAAACTGTTAATAACTTAGTGTCTATTCCTTCAGATTTCTTTTCTATGTATATGCTAACATATGTAATTATTTTTTCTTAAATGAGATCACACTATTCTGTTGTGTGTTGATTTTTTAAGTGTAATATATCATGGTTATTTTCTTTCCATGTCAGAACATATTGATCTACTCCATTCTATTTGATGGATTAATGGCATCTCAGTGCATGGATATCCCATAATTTATTATCTTATTCAATATTGATGGGCATTTGTGTAGTTTCCAACTCTGAAAAATATTATGGTGAACATAACGTGTGTGTGTGTTTACAGACACATCTATTTTATGAGTAGTTTGGAGTCAAGTCATCAAGCTATTGGGTCAAAGAGCTAGAATGTTTTTAATTTTAAAAGCCATCACTCCTGTTGCTAGGAAAGAGGCGATTTACCTCTCCCTTGGCTTTAATTCAATAGCCATCCAGGCGTAACAGGCATCTACAATTCAAGCACATTGGGGCTGGTACAAGGGGGCTTGGTCCTCTGGGTGTCCTTTACAATTTGGGCGCCCAAAACTAAACTAACTCACGTCTAAAAACTTAACTCGCATCAACCTTCAGATCAGCTCAAGAAAATTAAACTCGGCCCTTTCTTGTCCTTGGAAAGGTCAAATGTTGAACTCTGAGAAGAGTCTGTTTAACTTTTCTAAGGTATTACCTGAGCTAGTGTGGTGGGATGTTTGTGTACTTACAAGAAGATATTCCATTCTAATGCTATTTGGGCCCAAGAGCATGAACTTCATATTGTTCTTTCCTACAAAGTTCTGGACTTTTAGTAGAACTTGCTCAAAAGGCTGTTCTATGAGCCAATCGTCCTTACCACCATTGAATGAGAGGAAGAAAATTAAAGAAGTTAAGCACTATGAGTGGGTCTCATTATTAAAACCATTTTGCAGATTAGCAGACTGAGGTACAGGGAGTTAAGTAAAATGCCCAAAATTACATGTGAGGAAGTTGAGAGACATATTAGAAATATATATACTTATAAATACAGATGCAGATAAATAATGACAGTTAGCTTAATACAAACGAAGGAAAATGTAAGTTATAGGAAATCGGAGAGAAGAATACTAGAGAGCTGGCCACACAGTGGTTAATGAAGTGGGGCCTGGGTCTTGAGCCAGTTTTGAAGATAATCAGGAATGAGGCCTGTCAAGAGGAGAACAGAGCACATGGAGTTCTCTGTGGGGAGCACAGCAACTGGGTCTATCAGTGAGTCTGGTAGGAAAAGCAGGCAGTTAGAGAGAGAGTGGGGAGCGAACTGGTTTAGGACATTGAAAAGCTCATAATGAGGAGTTCCAATTTGATGCTAGGCCAAAACAAAAAAGAAAAGGGAGGCACTCTACTATTCTAAGAGAGGGGGAGAGGGTCTGCTCATGAGGGACATAATACACACTTGAGAAAGGGGTCCCTCATCATTAGGTGCTGGAAGCAGAAATGCTGTGGTGGTGATCCAGGCATGAAATTAAGACCTTGAGAAGACATGTGGCCATTCAAAAGAGATAAATCTAAGAATTATAAGCTATTTAGAAAGAAATTAGCTTGATAAAAATAAGAAAAAAATTTTTTTTTTAGAGATTTTTATACAGACACCCATATGCCATGTATCAAACACAGCACCACCTTCTAACTGGAACTTCCTGCCTCCTCCTGTCTTCCCTTTGGCTGGAATGCCATTTTCTCCCCCAGCTTCCCTACTGAAATCTAACCCACCCTTTCTGGTCCAGTTCAAACATCATTTTTATGAAACCTGACCCAGCACTCCAGGAGGTGACTCTTTTCCATGTGACTGACTTAGCATCTTGTAGCTTTATCGTGGCACCTAGAACGTTTCTTCTCTGCAGTTCCTTCTAATTAGTCTTAGCATTTCTTCTAGAACTGAGCATCCCTGGAAAGCCAGAATCATACTTTATATCTTCCAACTTCATATTCCCCAGAGGCTGTGTCCTGGTAGAATATAAGATCAGTGGCTTGAATAGAGAGACCGCTCTTTTAATAAACATGAATTTTAATGGATTTTTTTTTTTATGTGCTCTGAAGGTAGTGCAAAATGTCTTGTTTCACGCTATCGTTTATCTCAGGGAGTAAAAATGATATATACCTCTAAAACTACAAACACGTCAAAATGTCTTCACGGTGTCCATCCTTCTCTTTCAGGCCTTGCTCTATTACTGTGAAGCACTAACAAAGACAGACCCTCAGCTCCAGAAGGCAGCTTGCCTGGCCCTGAAAAGCCTGGAGGTAAAGCCCAGCCTTAGAGCCCCCTGGCAGTTCAGCTTCGAGCACGACTCAGCCAAGTGTATATAACAGCTTTCCTTCCATATTTAGAAGTACCTGTTTTGGCCGCATTTCTTATCTCCTTTGCACTGTATCTTAGCTTGGGGGTTCCTTTTATCTTTAAACAGTAACTAAATGTGATTTTGTTTTATTAAAGTCACTAAGTTTTAGAAAACAATTATGTTTTTCAATAGCCCACAGGAATCAGTTTGCCTCTGGGTCAGTATTAAAAAAGTATATCTTATCCCAAAAGAGAGATGATATGATGGTTTCACCAATTTTTATTGTATACAAAAAATGGCAGGGATAAATAAAATTTGCAAAGAAGTGCTAAAATTCAATGTGCCAATAAATTTCTAGATCATTCCCCATGAACTGTTTTTACTAAACAGCTCACCAATCTTAACTGGGTCAGAGGAAGGTGTTAGTGAGCACTGAGAGAGCTAAAATGTAAATGGAAAAAAGGGGCTGAGAATTCCCAACGTTAAAGAGTTTGCCCTTTCAATAGTCAAGATTTAATATTTGACCTACTTTAATCACAAAAAATAAGACTAATTGCTCTTGAGAAAAGAATGAGAAGGCCACACCTTAGAACTTGCTGGAACCTTGGATGGGTGCGTAGGACAAGGGGCAGGGACTTGCAGGCCTGATGGGACATGAAGAAAGGGATTAACACCTCAAAAGAAAAAGTTAATGACCTGTGAAAGAAAGCAGTTCTGGGAAATTTTGCCTTCCTTGTTACTTGGTCAAAAAAATGACCTTTAGGTGGCAAAAAAAAAAAGCCCACAGTGACTGCTATTTATTTGGGTGCTCTCCTGATATACAGTGACACATCAGTGATGATGGCTGTGATATGGAGTCCACGTAAATAGACGTGAGGATACAGTGATCTGCATTAGTTTTTGTGGATTTACATGCTTCGAAGGTTACAGTAGAGGCTCCAGTTTTTTTGGTTTTTTTGTGTGTGTGTGAGGAAGATCAGCCCTGAGCTCACATCCATGCCAATCCTCCTCTTTTTGCTGAGGAAGACCAGCCCTGAGCTAACATCTATTGCCAATCCTCCTCCTTTTTTTTCCCCAAAGCCCCAGTAGATAGTTGTACGTCATAGTTGCACATCCTTCTAGTTGCTGTATGTGGGACGCGGCCTCAGCATGGCCAGAGAAGCGGTGCGTCGGTGCGCGCCGGGGATCCGAACCCAGGCCGCCAGTAGCGGAGCGCGCGCACTTAACCACTAAGCCACGGGGCCGGCCCCGAAGCTCTAGTTTTAAACTCGAGCATATCCCAAGTCTGGGAGCACGGATTCCTCTCCTTTTCCCTTTTCTCCTAGAGGATAGGATTCTTTGTGCAGAATAAAAGACCTCTTTCTAAACCATCCCCAGGCCCCCAGCTCCCAAAAGGGGCTCTATGCAGCATGGTGTGAAACATGCGTAAAAAATAGTGCAGACTCATGATTTCCTCCATCCACTCATGATTTCCCTAACTCTAGCTAACTTATCAGGAAAAATAATTTTTTTTAATTAATGATAGCAAGCAGACACCCCATTTTTTTCCTATTCTTTTCTATTTTTCTCTTCTATTATCAAACTGGAAACAACGTTGAGAGATGAAGTTCCTCAAATCAAATGGCCCTCCAATTTTAGGTCCCCCGTCTGTCTCATTGAGCTAAAATAACCCATAGTCTACCCATGCTGCTCACCCCAGTTTGCCATATTCTGGCACCCAGCACCACCACCACCACTTCATAAACCTAGCTTTCTTCTAAGAAAGAAAACCCCAATTTATTATCTGTTATCAACTCCTCAAAATCTCAGCAAGAGCATTTTTGTTTTGTAGCAGGCAGGCTGCCTTTCTTGTACCTGCCCTAAATAGTGGTGTTCGTAAAGACCCTATGCTAGGCCCTCTTCTCCCTCCACGGGTTCTCCCTGGGTAAACATCTACCCCCATGTCCTCTGTTATCATCTATATGCTAATAACTCCCAATATTTCCAGTCCAGGTCTTCCCTTCCCACCTATTATCCAGCTTGCCGTTAGATATCTCAGAAGATACCACAAACTCCACCGATCTCTCCCTGTCCTCTAGTCTTCTGTATCTTAGTGGATCGTACAGTCACCTCCCAGTAGCCCATGCCAGAAACCTAGGAGCTGCTAGTGACCCCTCCCTCACGCTCATCCTCCACCTCCAACCAGCCTCCCCATCCTGTTGATCCCACTTCCTCAGTAGCCTGAATCTGTCCACTCTTTATTCCCACTCTCTTCACATGGATTCGAGCAACCTACCTAGCAGTCGCTTTGCCTCCTTCGAGTCTGGACTCCCTTCATTCCGTCCTCTTTACTGCAATTAGAATGCTCATAATAAAATACAAATTCTGCCTAAAACTCTTCCATGGGCACTGGCCCCATGGCTTAGTGGTTAAATTCAGCACGCTCCACTTCAAGTGGCCCAGGTTTGGTTCCCGGGTGCTGACCTACACCATTCATCAGTGGCCGTGCTGTGGTGGTGACCCACATACAAAATAGAGGAAAATTGGCACAGATGTTAGCTCAGGGCACATCTTCCTCAGCAAAAACAAAACAAAACTCTTCCTTGGCTTTCCATGTTCTTAGAATGAAGTCCAAAACCTTTAACGTGACTTGTAAGGCCGTCTTTGATTTGGCCCTGTCTGGAATTTGTTTCCCCCTCCACACCCCCAAACACACACACTCACACACACACCCCTACCCCGTACCCAAACCTGGCTAACTCCTCTAAGATATCACTTCCTCCATGAAGACTTCCCTGATCACACCAGGTTATGTTTCCCAGACATGTTCTGCCCTAGTACCCTGACTCAGCCTATTATTCATTATAACAATTACTTTACTTGTTTAACAATCTGTCTTTCCACTAGACTGTAAACTCTGGAGGGCCAGGACCATGTCTTGTTCATTGCTAAACCACCTGTGCCTTGTGAACTGCCTGGTTCATAGAGTGCTCAATAAATGTTTGTGGAATAAACCAATAGAGGAATTCCCATCCTTGACCTTTATTCTTTTCCTCTCTTTTAGCATATAAGCTAAATATTAGGAATTCTTAAATTAGAGCTGTTTTGGAAGGAGTGGGATACAGTGGAAAGAACTAGGAGAAGTAAATTCTATTCTAGAAAAGCCGGCTAGTCACTTCACTGCTCTAGGCCTGGAGTCCTCTGTGGAATGAGGAATTCAGCTGATCATCAGAGCTCCTACAAGGACGAATCCTGGGCTCCATCCCAGGAAATTCTAATATAGTCCGTCTGGAGTGGTGCCCAGGAATCTGTACTTAAAAGAGCTCGCTAAAGTGATCCTGACACTCAGCTAGGTTGGGGAACCCCTGAGTAGGATGGTTTTTAAAGTCCCGACCAGCTTTGAAATGCTAAGTCTCATGTAATCCGAGACATAAGTAACAGAATGCTATTTTACCTGTTTTCTCCTTGTAGGCTACTGAAAGCATTAAAATGCTGGTGACACTGTGTCAGTCTGACACTGAAGAAATCAGAAATGTGGCCTCAGAAACCCTCTTGTCTCTTGGTGAGTTTTTTTTTTTACATGATTGTTTACTTTTGATACCCTCAAAGGGAACGGTAAGGAAAAGTTTCGTGTGCCCTGTTTTAGCAGTTTTCCCCCTATAGGCTATCTGCTCACACTTCTACACACACAGACACACAGACACACAGACACACACACAGACACACACAGTATAAGGAACTGATCAATTTCCATCTCCCCCCAACTCCTTGTTCTAACTGTCTGGGTGTTGAGGGTGAGGGTTGCTTTCAGGAGCCTGTGTAGATGGGTTAACCAGTCTGTGCACTGTTTGGAATCAAGAACATAGAAGTCAAACTATAGAGCAGAAGCAATAGTCAGGAGTCCAGGTTGGAAGGCCAGGTTGGGGTCGGCACTACGTGGAGGACAATGATTGGCTGAGGTTCCAGGGTGCATTCCCCAGGGAATGCCATCATTCCCCAGGTACCTTAGCCTCTCCTGACTCTCAGGTTAACCTCTGATTGCCCTACTGGCCTATGCCCTCCTGAGCCCCAACACCAAAGAAAAGAATTGAGGTATTTATTTTATTCTGGAATAACAAGATAAACCTTCCCCTTCACTCCACTTTATAAAGGTTCATGCCTAGCAGGTTTCATACTTTTATTCTTTTGGAGGAGTTGGGAGGGTAGAGAGAGGCTTTTTTAACTCTGCATAAAAAAATATAAATGTTATAAATAATTTTACTACTACAACACACTCTTCAAGTGCAAAAGCTATCCACGTGAAAGTACTCATATATAATCCGGTCAATAATACTAGTTGGAACAAAGCCACCCTAGTTTGACTTTAGTAGCTTAATACCGTAAGGGGAAATCTCATGGTATTTTTAATCACTGTGAAAATCACATTCTTTGTTAGATGTTCTTTCTTACAGTTACTGGTTTAATAAGGCTTTGTTCTGCTATTGAATATATCATTCGATGCACAGAAATCTTAGCCAGCATACGTTTGTTTAGAGGATAAAACAGTTATTCCTTGTGGCTGTTTTAGGCATAGAAATTATTTAAATCCCTTAAACTGTGCCCGGGGTATTATTAGTTTGAACTTTTATCCCTTCATGTTCTGAAATAATGATGAAGGTGAGCCCGATGTTTGTAAAGCATAGCCCACAATGCTTCTCTTTCCAGTGTAAGCTCAGGAAGTTTATCCCTGTTGACTGTGCCCCAAGATTCACTTCAGCTGCACAAATACTAGCATCTCCAGGACTGCTTATCACACCTGCTTCATCTTAGCTCTTTATGGACATGGCTCCCCCCAGCCCCCTGCCCTTTCACACCACCAGTTCATGGTTCTCAACGCTAGCTGCACATTGGAATCACCAAGGAAGCTTTAAAATATACCCATGCCTGGGTTCCACTTCCAAAGATTCTGCTTTCATTGGGCTGAGATGTGGCTCGACATTGGGATTTTTAAATTGCTCCCAAGTGATTCTAATATGCAACAAAATTTGAGAACCTCTGAACTCAATGTTATGAATCTCTTTTGACCCTACTACACAAATACTAGTGCATTTTTATCCCACACAGATGACTGAATTAATATAGTGAAAATAGTATTTTCAATGGGAATTGATAAAAGCTACCCTATGATGAAGGGCTGAGGGTGGTCGCAGGGCATTTGAGGGACTCAAGGCAGCAGCTCTGTACCAACCAGTATGGAATTATTTCAATATTTTAACCTAGAGCTGCCCAATAGATCTCTCTGTGATGATCGGGATGTTCTCTATGTGCACTGTCCCATGCGGCAGCCAGGATTCACATGTGGCTATTGAGCAGTGCAACGTGGCTACTATGAATGAGGAACTAAAGGTTCAACTTTATTTAATTTTGAGTGTTAACATTCAAATATAAATAGCCACATGTGGCTGGTGGCCACTATATTGAACAGAGCAGTTTTCACCGTGGCTACGGACATTCCATTGCCTCCTGGCTGGACCTCAGTCCAGTTTGGAACCACACTGCCTGATGCCCCAAAGCTCAGGCTTTTTGTCCTCCAACACCCCACCTGCTTCACAGGGCTGTTAAAGGACTAGCCAACACAGATCAAAGCCCACTGAAAACTGAATGTTAGTAAGAGTGAGATGCCGTTAGAGCCGGGCCCTGGTTGTGTCACTAAATAATATTGAGTAACACCTGTAGAGGAATTGCTGTATAGGTGCCAGGCACTGTTTTGAGGGCTCTGCATGGGTTAGCTCATTTAATCCTCCCAAGAACTCCATGAAGGAGGAAGTAGGGTTAGTCTCATTTTAAAGAGGGGCACATTGAGATGTGCTGAAGTTGCATAATCCACCATGGACACCCAGACCCAGTAGGGCACTGCAATGGAATCCTGACCGTCTAGGCCACCTAAATTCTGTGGGACTCTGGGGGAAGAAGTGAACATCTCTAAATTGGACTATATCCATGATCAAAATGGGAATTGGCCTGGTATTAGCTGTTTTTAAACCAGCATTCGTTAGCCAAGGCATCCACAGGGGTGTGTGTGAGTGGGCAAGGAGCATGGTATGAATGGGCCTAACTCGGGCCCTCTGTATCTCCATCTCCTCCTCCTGTCATCAATGGAAAAGGTGCTGTTTTATATATCAGGGCTTTGCATAAATATTTAGTTTCAAATAAAGGGTTCTACTCCAAAGTAATAAAAAATTGAAAACTACTGAATTAGGAAAAAAAAAAATAGGATTTGCCTCAGAAAAGTCAAGGCATGCAGGAAAAAATCAACAAAAATCTCTAAAAATTGGTGGCTTTTGCTTGTAGAAGAGTTCACTACAAAGTTCTCTTAAATACAGGCAAATCTCTACTTTTGTATCTAATGTGTTACTGAAAATGTTAAATGTATCAAAAAAAAAAAAAAAAAGAACAGACTTTTGGTTTATTGAAAGGCTTCTGTTTCCAGAGACTATGGTATATTATAAAATACATGATTAGAGTCCTTTTCTAAAACCCACTAATATCAGTATATTTCCAGCATTCATGAATCTTTTTTTACTTTTGTTTTTCTTTACAATGAACTTCTGATTGAACACAACTAATTATTTCCATCTTTGTCTCATTTGTTAAATGTATGAAAGCCTGCTTCTTATTACTAGTATCTGTACTTTTACAAAATTTAGAAAATTTTCCCATTTTCTAAATAATAGGAAAAATGGAACAAAATATTCAAATAATTTGCAAATACATGTTGGCTATTCAAGATGATACACTACTGACAAAACTGAACTAGCTGTTGGCTGGTAGATGGCATCACCACATGTTTATATGGCAAAGTAATTTTTTAGCTGAAGTTTGAAAGCCTAAATTTGACTTTTATGAAAGATCATTTAGAGGTACCAATATATAAAAGTAAAAGTTATGTAAAGGTCCAACGCACTGAAGTCAAGGACCAGACATATGGAAATCCCTAATGCTTTTAAAATATAATCCATATGATTTCTCAGGAGTAAATCTACTATGTGAGGGCCGGCCCGTGGCTTAGCGGTTAAGTGCGCGCGCTCCGCTGCTGGCGGCCCAGGTTTGGATCCCGGGCGCGCACCAACGCACCGCTTGTCCAGCCATGCTGAGGCCACGTCCCACATACAGCAACTAGAGGGATGTGCACCTATGACATACAACTATCTATTGGGGCTTTGGGGGGAAAAAAAGGAGGAGGATTGGCAGTAGATGTTAGCTCAGAGCTGGTCTTCCTCAGCAAAAAGAGGAGGATTAGCACGGATGTTAGCTCAGGGCTGATCGTCCTCACAAAAAAAACCTATTATGTGAAAATATCTACATCAAATGCCCATAGGACTTCCTCTCTGTTTCACACTCTGGCATTTTTTAGTCTCTGGCATTAGCTCAAAAGTTCTTGGTTGTTCTAAATGTTACCTAACAAACAATATAATTAAGAGTAACAGATGATTTTTCCTTCCCTAAAGTTAACATCAGCAAAATATAGCAATCCGTACCTAAACAACTGGTATTAATTTATCAGAATTAATTATTCTGAGTGATGAATAAAAAAGTTAAGTTCAAACTGGTATTCATTTTGAATATTCTATATCCAGGAGAAGACGGGCGGCTTGCCTATGAACAGTTGGACAGATTTCCTCGAGACTGTGTTAAAGTCGGAGGTCGTCATGGAACTGAAGTTGCCACCACCTTTTAATTACAAGTTAACTCTGCCTAACAGCTGTCTTAATAAAATGGCCCTGTTAAAAAAAAAAAAAAAATGGCCCTGTTAATCAAGATGGTGCTGTGATTTAGCTGGAATGTATTTAAGACTTGAAGAGTTCTGTTGAGGTTGTCTGGAAATGTAACATGTTACAGAAAGAATTCAAAGTCCAGTTTCACAGTACCTATCCACTTTTCCTTTGGCCAACAGAATAGGGCTATGTATAATTTAGTACATTACATTGTTGATTGCGTCTGACAATAGTAAAAGAGTCCATCTTATCATATTAGTATGGAATTTTAAAACAGCCATCTTTGTACTTTTTTGGAAGTTCTTCTATAAGCTCGAAATAGTCATGTGATACTTTGATAAATATCATACGCCTTGCAGTGTTTCTGTCATGTTCTCAGGGTTGAGGGGCCCTCTTAGCTACCTAATTTTACCTTAAATGCAAAGCACAAAAAAGAATTTCTTCAAGTAAAAGTTTGCCTGCAGAACCTGGTAAAATGACACATTGTAAGAGTTTAATTGTTTCTAACTTCATTTTTTCAAGCCTCCACTGATTTATTTTGTTTCTTTTCTCCATCCTGGAAATTCCAAAGTATGTTTTCATTGTGGTAAAAAGACAGGTAGATGACTAAGAACTACCTTATTGAGATTATACCCATGCTTATTAAAAAACAGACACTCAAAACTTAAACTTTTTTTAATAAACAAAAGCCATTTTTTTAATAATACTTTGCTGCTAGAACAAATCAAAACCAAAAGTCATGGAGGCAGAAAGCCGCGATGCTTTTTGAGATACAAGAACTTGGAAGTTGGAGGAATCCCAATGGGGTGGGAGCAGAGGGACTTTAAAAGTGGTCCTTGCTTCTATAAAAATCACCATGAGTTTAGGAAGAAGAAGAACACCCTCGGCCGGCCCCGTGGCTTAGTGGTTGAGTGCGTGCGCTCCACTGCTGGCGGCCCGGGTTCGGATCCCGGGCGCGCACCGACGCACCGCTTCTCCGGCCATGCTGAGGCCGCGTCCCACATACAGCAACTAGAAGGATGTGCAACTATGACATACAACTATCTACTGGGGCTTTGGGGAGAAAAAGGAGGAGGATTGGCAATAGATGTTAGCTCAGAGCCGGTCTTCAGCAAAAAGAGGAGGATTAGCATGAATGTTAGCTCAGGGCTGATCTTCCTCACAAAAAAAAAAAGAAGAAGAAGAAGAACACCCTGAGGAATGGTTACTGCCCCAGAGAAATCATTCACCACTGGATAGAGTCCTTGGCCAAACAGTTAAAACAACAGCTCCCATTCATTATTGCTTTCATATCAGGGTAGCAAGTCCATTAAATAACGTACAAGACTATTCAGTAGCTCTTATTAAATAATTTTTCTTCCTCTTAAGAGGATACAAGGTGGGATATGCCAAGATATCAAAATAATATGTGTGAGTGTAATTTAAACTGTGGAATATCAACTGCGTTCTGAATGTGTTTGTATAAAATATCATTTAGATGTCATTTTAAATATTTACATTTTAGCAAGACCTTTAAAAACAACTCATTTCATTTTAAAGTAAAAATCGTTCGCCAGGCTTCCTGGCAAATAGTTCTTACAACTGTGAAGTTATAATGTGTATATATATTTGTATATTTATAAATATTATATATATGCATATATCCTTCATTTTAAAGGTACACTGTACAGTCTAATTAGTATGTATAGTCTATAGTCTCTGTTCAATGGTCAAGATGATTCTTTTTATAGAAATTCAAATCACGAATGTTATAGGGTTTTTTGTTTGGTTTGGGTTTTTTTATTTTTTGAATTTTGCACGAGTAATTAATTCCATATCTTTTGTATTCACTTCTGCATTTTATTTTTGGTTGAAGGGGGTGCTTTTAGTTTTGTGGCATTTGTATTCATCACTCTTTCAATCATGTAAGTTAAAATAAAAATTATTTTTGAATTACTAGTCTCATGTACAGAGTCGAGTGTATTTTTTTCACATGCCTTTCTTGAGTTGGTATTTACACAACATACTACACCTTGTTCTCAATTTGAATTTATTCTTATGTTGAAATTCCTTCATCTATAAATGTAGATAATAATATTAACTTCTCAGATTTGTCGTAAAGCTAATTGGAGAAAAAGAGCTGCATTTCAGACTTATGATATCTATGAGCAGAGACTATGCGCTCCTCGAGGATAAAAAGAGCCTTCATTTATTTGTGTATGTTCCCAGACCGAACTCCCACCAGCATCATCACAGAGGGGCCCCTAACATTCAACTCTGAGAGTAAGTATTTACCAAGCGCCTCATTAAATACCAGTGATTGCTTTTACTGAGCAGCAGTAAAAACAATTTCCCCTATAAGGTGTATTGCTGTACTGTTGGAATTGCCTTATTTACTTTACAAATTATAAAGTAAAATTGTAAACCCAAATTTGGCAGAAAACACCAGCACTTCTCACTATATCAGAAAAGCAAATTAGTCAGATAGAAAAATAAATATATTTATCCCTGAAATTTTCCTAGAGACAGTATCTCTCTTATTAAACAAATCTTATTTTTTGATTTTGAGAAAGTTCTAAGTATACCTTGTGCAGAGAACAATAGTTGTTTGCTAAAAACCAGATCTCTAACTTCTCGTTTATTCAACACGTATTTGTTGCATACTTACTTTGGATACGGTATATGCAGGGGACTGTTCTTGGCATTGGAGATAACAGCAATGAAGAAAAACAGAAAAAAACCTGTGCTCTCACAGGACTCATATCCTGACAAGGGGAGTCAATAAAACAGAGAAGGGGAATAATAATTGCACAGGTTGGGGTTGGGAGATGCCATATCACAAAGATCACACGTTTAAAAGAGAGTGGTCAGGGGAGGCCCAGGAGCAAATTACATCAGGAACTGATGGGGTGAGCCACGTGCATATCTCTGGAAAGAACATTCCAGGCAGAGGCAATAATAAGCACAAAGGCCTTGAAACAGGGCCATGCTTGGTGTTTTAGATTTTCTAGTAGCCTCATTTAAAAAAGTAAAAAGATGGGGCCGGCCCGGTGGTGGAGCGGTTAAGTTCGTGCGCTTCACTTTGGCAGCCCAGGGTTCACAGGTTCGGATCCCAGGCGCACACCGACACACCACTTGTCAAGCCATGCTGTGGTGGTGTCCCATATAAAGAAGAGGAAAATAGGCACGGATGTTAGCCCAGGGCCAATCGTCCTCAGTAAAAAGAGGAGGATTGGCAATGGATGTTAGCTCAGGGCTAATCTTCCTCACACACACACAAAAAAAGTAAAAAGAACAGGGGGAAGTTAACTTTAATATATTTTATATATAATCCAATATATCCAAATATATCCAAACCCTAATATATCCAAAATATTTCAACTTATAACCAATAAAAAAATTAATATTTTACATTCTTTTTTTCATAGTCTTTGAAATCCAGTATGTATTTTATAGCACATCTCAATTCAGACTAATCACATTTCAAGGGCTCCATAGCCACATGTGGCTAGTGGCTACCATATTGGACGATACAAGTCTATGTTTCCCCAACTGTCCCCGTAATATCCTTTATAGCAAATACACACATGCTCACGCACATGCATGCACACACGTGTGGATACGGGATCCAACATGGATTACATGTTTAATTTAGTTGTAATGTCTCTTCAGGCTCTTTTAATCTAGAACACTAGCTGCCCCCCTGCCCCCCGCTTTTTTAACTCCTGCACCTTAATATATTTGAAGAGTACAGGCAAGTACATTTTGTAGAATGTCCCGAATTTGGACAGGGAGTCCAAATTTCCACTTTGAAAGTAGAGCTAAAATGATTTATTGATAAGTTGGAAATGAGATGTAAGACAGATAAAAGCCCAGGATAAATCCAAAAATTTCAACCTGAACAACTGTAAGGATGGAATGCCATCTTCCAAGATAGAGAAACTGAGAGGCGGCAGGTTTAGAGAAGACCAGGAATTCTGTTTTGACATTTGAAGTTTGAAAAGCCTCTTAGACAACCAAATAGAGAGACCAAGTGGCAATTGAATGTGAGTGATGTGTTTGGAGTTCAGGTGAGAAATCCAGTTAAAAATATAAAATTGGGAGTCTTCAGCATATGGATGGTATCTAAAGCCATGACACTGGTTTATTTCATCTGGAAGTATAGATAGAAAAAAAGAAGAGATACAAGGATTGAGCCTTGGGACGTTCCAATATTTAAAGGTCATAAAGAAAAGGGGGAACCAGCAAAGGAAAATGAAGAGCAACCAGTAGGAGAAAAATCAAGAGAGTATGCCATCTTAGAAGCTAGGTGAAAAACATGTTTCAAGGAGAAAGGAGTGTCAAATGCTGAGGACTGAGATTCAGTAAAACAAAGGTCATCGTGACCCTGACAAGCAATCTCAGTAAACTCGTGGGGTTGAAATCCTATTTGGAGTACATCCAAGAGAGAGCGAAGGAATACATACAATGGGAAGTATGGCAACTCTTTGAAGAGTTGTTGTATAAAGGGGAGCAGAGAAAGGAATGTGCAATACTAGGGGGAGGGGCTATATGAGATCAAGAGAATGTTTTATTTTTTTCATGAGAAAAAGTATAGCATGCTTGTTGATGATGCAAAGGATCCAGCTGAGATGGAAAAATTAGTAAGGCAAGAAAAGAATGGCAGAGCAAGCTCCTTGAGTGGGGTGAGAAGGGTTGGTTGAAATCTACTATATAAATGGAGACGGCATCCATAATAACAGGAGGAAAGTCAGAGTGTATGGGCACAGATGCAGACAGGTCACTGGATGAGATGGTAAGAGCTGCGGAAGTTCTCTTTTGGTTGCTTCTATTTTCTCAGCAAAATAGGATAAATATAGGAAATCTATGACGTAGAGAAAAACACTGATTACCTAACAAATAAGCAGAATAGGCATAATACTATGAAAGATCAATGGAAAGAAGTTCAGTATGTGTAAGAATAGTCAAAGTAGAATGGGCAAGTTTCTGGCAGGCCTTGAGGAGCAAAGGTGCAAAGACAGGAATGAGTTTCGTGTGTGTTAGGGGAAACCAGTTTAGTTTAAGCTGAGATTTTGTGCACCAGAGAAGCAAAAGTAACTTGGTTTAGTCAAATTGCAGAAGGCCTTCGATGCCAGGATCAAGGATTTAGGCACACATCGCTTCCCCCTGACTTGTGTATTCCATTCTACAGTGTTGCTAAGTGATGAATTCCAGAGTTCTCGCCTATTAACTTCTGTTAGTGCCAGTGGTGTTACTGAAGCACCACTGGCTTTTTTACACAATGGCTAGGACCCCTGTTCATATGCAATTTTGTACTCAGATTTATCAGTATTTTCTGGGGCTGTATCGGCACCTCCAGAAATTCTGGAGTGTCACTGTTAAGGGCCTTTTCATTAAGAAGGAGGAAGAACATATCCCTCCAGCTGAGTGTATTTTTCATAAAGAAAAAATTGTAGCACTTGGCCATATGTTGAAGGATAAATCTCTGACCATTGAGAAGAGAGCTCAAGCTGCCTATAGAATTGGACTGTTGGCCTTCACAGGTACTGATTTAACCAGCTGTGCTAAAATAGGTGTTTCAAAATCTTTGTGCTTATTCTAACACTTAAGTTAGTGATTTTCATAGTTCTAGTCTTAAAATTCCAAGAACATTTCCTTTGCCTAAATTATTTGTTTTTTGTCTTCACACCACCAAAGATATTACTAGTTATTTTCTCCTCAAGGACCTCATGTTTTAAAAGGATACGTCCATGAAATAAATTACTAATTATTTTCCTCCTTTTATTAATTAAATATATATACATATATACTGAAATTGCCTATCAAAGTTCTCATGATCATAAAAAAAATCAAAGAATCTATAGTGAGTTGATATAATTCCAACCTAGTGATGTGATTCCAACACAGAGTAAAACTACTTGATATTTTATTTTTTATCTTGTAAAAATGCATTACACATAAAATAGCTTAGAAAAATCAACAAGAGCTTAATGCTCTTAAAACACCTACCAGGAAAGCCAATATGTGCCTCAGTGAAAGCAACTGTTAATGTATATTTGGCTAGAAAATTAAGTGGTAAACAATTTAAATACACACCACTCTAACAACTGTCAAATCCAAACTCTCTCCAATTTTTTTGTCTAATAAATTTCAGAATACGTAATTAAATTTTATAGGTGGCCCTCAACAACACGTCTCCTAATTAGAAGCTCTGGCTGGTAGCTATAAGTGTCAGAGATAGACCAATTTTTTTTTAATGGGAAAATGAGTTACTTAGATGTGGTTTGATAGACTAAATCTTTCAAAGAATGGTGTTCACAAGAAAAAAAAAACACTTACTGTTTTCAAGGACCGAGAGGTCTTAGGTGCCAGAATGGTTGAGAACCACTGGCATAGAGCTGGAGAGAAGACAGGAAGTTCAGGAGAATTCCCGTGTGAAGGAAGGATAAATGGCACCCACCACGTGAGGCAAGCTCAGTTCCTCGTATAGCTGTTTTCACCACTTGGGGGAAGAGCTAGCTAATTACAAAAGGATTAGAATCCTTTAATTTGATGTTATTTAGCCTTAGCTGTACTGGTGGGAAGCAAGGGAAAGGGCTTTTGCCCAGGCTTCAGCTAAAGCTTTAACATTGAATAGAATATTCTTGGTTGCAACTATGACATACAACTATCTACTGGGGCTTTGGGGGAACAATAAATAAATAAAATTATTAAAAAAAAAAAAAAAAAAAAAAAGAATATTCTTGGGACCATGGGACTGTGGTTGTGCAGGTAAGAGAAATCCAAGCTGGGTCAAAACTTCAGTGGCTAGAATCCAATCAACTATGTCAGCTGCTCCTCACCATCTAGTCTTCACCCAATGCCTTTTTGGCTAGTACTTTCTTGGAGTTTGAGATTTGAACCAGGAAGATCTGGGGTTCAGGTATATGATGAAAGTAGAGCCTGAGATCAGATTGGGTCAGTAATCAAAGCAAGGAAAACTTTGTAAGGTCACATTGGTCCCAGAACCGCAAAAGAGCTGGGCTAAGAAATGTGTAAGGGGAACGGGATAGCAATGGACAACTCACGAAAAACTTCTCTTACCACTTAGACCCTGGCTTTGCAGCTCAGTCTTTTGGTTTTCTGTTTGCTCTAATGTGCTGGCATTTTCTCAAGTACTGAAGACAGAGAATCAGGAATGAGATCATGAGGGAGATTTGCTAGGTGTACACAGCCAAGTTTTGTTCACCTTGAAATACTGATTCCCAGGTGCCTGATTAAAGGAACCAGAGAGGAGCCTTTTGCAGACAGGAACCTTCCAGTGCTTTTCATATTATTCCTGCTTTCACATTACTACACACACTTTCTTATCTTCACAGCAACACACGAGGTGGGGTAAAAGAAAGAGGAAAATTCAAAGTATCCAAAGTGTCACATATATAGCAACAGGAATGAACACATGGGTTCTCGAATGTCACTAGCTACTAGATATACCAAATACTTCTGGAAATGCAAACACTTGTCTTACAGGAGGACCAACTGCTGGGAAATTTGCAGCTGAGTACATGAAAGAAGTAGCCCACTTGTTGCAAAATCATGAGATGGCACCAAAAATAAAGATCCTGCTGCTCCAGAGTGTAGCATGTTGGTGTTACTTAAACCCTGTCAGCCAGAGAAGAGCCAAATATTTGCAGTTTATCCCTATTCTCATCGGTTTTTTGGAAAACAGACTTGAGTACACCATCGAAAGTGAAATAAATAGCAACCTCCTTGTGAAATTTTGGACTTGCTATGTTCTCTCTGTCATGACATGCAATAACTTGTCTTGCGTGAAGGAGCTTAAAGACCACAGTACTCTAAAACATCATTTGCAAATGTTGGCTACTGAAAATTGGTCTGGATGGCCTGAGAATTTTGCAGAGGTGCTATATTTCCTAACTGGTTTTCACAAGAATTAATTTCTCTAAATCCAGTCATGTGATACAGCTGTCAGCATTACTGTATTACTCTGGAAAACTGAAATAAATAGTAAAAGTCAATACATTATTCTTCAGTGTTTTCTTTTAGGTAGTCGAAAAATTATATATAAATTTTCATAGTTACTGCAATAACCGAACTTATGAAAAGCACTGCTGTTTAAAATGACCTCATAAAAATTAAGTTCAGGGGCCAGCCCCATGGTGTAGTGAAGTTTGTGCACTACACTTTGGTGGCCCAGGGTTCGCAGGTTCGGATCTCGGGCAAGGACCTACACACTGCTCATAAAGCCATGCTGTGGTGGCGTCCCACATACAAAATAGAGGAAGATTGGCACAGATGTTAGCTCAGGGCCAATCTTCCTCAAGCAAAAAGAGGAAGATTGGCAATAGATGTTAGCTCAGGGCCAATCTTCCTCACCAAAAATAAATAAATAAGTTCATAAAACGGGAATCCATTGGAAAATGCATTACCTTATAACTGTCAGGAGCAATGATGCATTTTGGGGGTTATTAGATGACATTAAGCCAAGGCATCCGGAAATGCCAAATCCTAACCCAACCCCCAGCCACCCCCTGTAGCGGACACTGTTGCCCCACCTGTATCCTTGCAGCCGTAACTATTTCAGTGCCAGCCTTCCAGCACGTCTTTGGCCGAGACTGTTTTCTGACTACCAGAACTTTATCTTGTTGCACCAGGCCCAATGGAAGTGCAGGTAATGAACACTCAGTAGCACCAGCCCTCAACTCCATTGACACAACTCTGGATGAAGATGGAGTGCCACGTGTTCAGACACCTAAAGACAGCCTAAAGTTAGGCTCTTGGGTTTTCATACAAATTTTCACTCTCCTTATTTCGTCCGTTAGAGAATACGTAACAGAAAACCCACATTTGACTTTTGTGTTGCCCAGCCTCAACAAAAGCTTTATTACAAAAAATGATATTTACGAAAAAGTGCCTACAGGATACGTACCTGTTTGTTTCTCTAACTACACTAACATTTGCCTCTAGCTTATGTTCCAGCCATCATAGGTTGAACTTTCATCTTTCACAGACTTGCTTTGACTGAGCTGTGCTTTGGTGTAATGCTTCCATCTTTCACTGAGGGGCCCATAAAAAAAAGTAGCATAGTTCCATGATCCTCGCTTGTATTTATTATAGGAATGTTGTTACCGATGTAATCACATCACATGGTTTCATGAGGATCTCAGGAGAAATTTTCTCAGAACTTAAACCAGGAAAAACCGTGTTCTGCTGAGCAACCATATATTTTCATCCTCTGTGAGTTTTGTGAATTGTGTAACACAGAGTTTCTCAAACTAGAATCCAGTTTATAGTGGTAGATTAAGGGTTTGACCCCAGAAGTCCTATTTAGAGACTGGGTCATGGTCAGAAAATACTTTTTGAAAATGCTTTTTAAATTACATTTTAATTTTTTCCTCAAAGTAATACATGAACATAGTTTAAAATGTCAAATAATACAAGGCCTCTAATGAGAAACAGCAGGCCCTGAGCCCCCTCTTGATTCACACTCCCAGAGGTAACCATCTGAATTCTTTTGGCTGTTTCTTCTATTTATTTACCTCCATATTTCTAAGCAGTTCACATACATGGCTAATTTTTTTTTTCAATTTTAGGTATTTCTCTTTTTACTTAATACGACAGATAAGGACCTAGGATTTTAACACTCCCCCTTACCTACATCCACTCGCCCTCCTCTTCCTCTCTCAATATAATTGTGCCACAATTGTTGATTAAAATGATATGAGTATTTCAATAGTTTTCATGGCTAAGTCATATCATGTAGTCTAATTCCTTTCTTTGTCAACTCTTCGTTTTCCCTGGAGTTTTTTGTTTTGTTTTGTTTTGTTTTTGCTTAGTTTTCTATATACCTATCACTAATTTTTTCCCACACTTTCCTCTGTAGCTGTTTAACAACTCTCAATTCAGTTACACATTAAGTATGTAATTGTCAGCTCACCACCATGGAGCCCACCATCCTCTTGTTCCGCTCGGGGCCTGCCACACACCTAACAAACATTTTAGGGGTTCCCTTCAACACCCAGGAATCCCCTTACCCCTCCCGTGTTGGACCCTCTGTTTCCTGTATACTATCACTTTGCTTTTCCTGGTTCACTGCCACATTTCAATTTGAAGCAGGTTTTCCAGTAGTTTCCTGAGAAAGAACAAACAGGAGGTAAATTTCTGGACATCTCACATGTCCAACGATGTCTCTATTCTTCGCTTAAGTGATCATTTGACTTCGGCCTGTCCAGGCCCCTGGAGGGGCCGCAGAGGACATTAACGCCCTGGGTGCGCCCTCCTTACCCAGAAGGAAGGAAAAGCTGGGGTGAGCACATTCAGTTCTGTTTTTCCCAAAGCCACCCATCAGGCAAGTCACTCACCTCTGCTGAAACTATTGGAACTTCCTACTCCTGGAAAAGAACATCAGATTTGGAAAAGCAGCAGCTTCTTCCATATCTTTCCAGAGGTATTCTATCTATATGCAAGAAAATATACATATATCCCTTTTCTTGGTCCTTTTTGTTTTTTGGGTTTTTTTTATTAAAGATTTTTATTTATTTTATTTATTTTATTTTTTCCCCCCAAAGCCCCAGTAGATAGTTGTATGTCATAGCTGCACATCCTTCTAGTTACTGCATGTGGGACTCGGCCTCAGGATGGACGGAGAAGTGGTGCCTCGATGCGCACCCGGGATCCGAACCCGGGCCACCAGCATTGCAGCGCGTGCACTTAACCACCAAGCCACAGGGCCGGCCCCCTTTTTGTTTTAAAATGTAGTAGCATTTTGTACACACCAATACTTTATCTTGGTTTCGGTTTTATATCTTAAACAGTTTATTCATTCTTTTCTACTGCTTTGGAGTATTCCATTGTATGACTATAATTTATATAACCAGTCCTATAGTGTGGACATTTAGATTATTTCCAGTCTTTTGATAGCTCAAAGTTGTAATGAATAACCTTAAATATATATCATTTCACACACGTGTGAATATATCCGTGGAGTAAATTTCTATTAATGGAATTGTTGAGCAATACTCATGTTTTTGTTTAAGTTTTCTTCTGGGCCCTGCATTGTCACTTTTCCCTAATCTTCTCTTGATTCTTCAGCTTTCTTCATCAGCGTGGGATTATGTCTTTCATTGTTTACTATCATTTTAATGGGGTCTAGAGGGAGAGAGAACTAAATGGCTGTGTTCAATTAACATGTTTAACCAGAAATTGCTACGGCCTCTCTTCTGACAATGCTCAGAGAACCTTTGGTTAACATTTTAACTACAGAACAGTAGCTTGTAAGGCAGCCTGGCTATATTACTCTACTCAAATTCCTTTTTGGTCTCTGGCACATCTTTAAATCGAAGGTGGTACAATATAAGGTTCAGATTTGGGCCTTGAGGCATTTTTATGCTAAGCTTTGAATTTAAGACTGGTTTATTAAAGTTTTAACAATAAACGGCTACTTTATTTTCCTTTGTTGTCCCTTATAACTTCATCTCTCCCCAACATTTGGGTTCTCCCAGAAGCAAATTCCAGATAAGAATTTGAGCGCCAGCCTGGTGGCGTAGCCGTTAAGTTCGAGTGTTCCACTTCAGTGGCACGGGGTTCGCGGGTCCGGATCCTGGGCACGGACCGCTCATCAAGCCATGCTGAGGCGGTGTCCCATATAGAAGAACTACAACTCTACAACTATGATACACAACTATGTGCTGGGGCTTTGGGGAGAAAAACGAAAAAGAAGATTGACAACAGATGTTAGCTCAGGGCCAATCTTCCTCAAAAAAACATAAAAAAGAATTTGAGTGCAAGGACTTTATTTGGGAGGTAATCTCAGGAACTAGCAACAGGGAAGGGAAGAAAGCCAATAAAAGATGTTTTGTCAAGAAAGTTACCACTGTAGGTAAATGGAATTTGTAATCCTGCTGAGGAACTGTTCTGGTAAATATACAACACACACACCTCAGTTATCCCACCCAGAGGTCCCAGGAGCTCAGATATTTATACACCAATTCCTATCCTTCTTGGTTGACCTGACGACCTAAACCTAAAATTCAACTGAGATATCTTGAAGGGGGCAGGGCAGGCAGGGAGCAGTTTTCTAAACAAAACAAACATTGCAAGGGCCCTACAGCAGTATAGTTGACATTTGTTGCTTTCTGGCTAACTAGAATCTATTTTTTCTTCTGATAACACTTCAATTTCTCTTGAGGGGCTATCTCGCCCATGGTGTAGTCTTAAGGAGACTGTCAATCAAGGTATTGTGCCGTCCCAAGGAGTGGTAACAAACCAGGCTACACCAATCTTGCTATCTCAGGGAACTTGGAATCTTGTGCAAAATGATGAAAGGAGAGAAAATTATTTTAGAGACAGCACTAAGACAATGTTGACGAGCACCTGTTAGGGGATCCCCAGAGCTGCTCTGGTTTCTGCTCCCTCAGAACCATCATATTCTTCCAATGAACTCCATTTTTGCTTATGTTAGCCAGAGTTAGTTTCTATTTCTTACAAAGAACCCTCAGAAAGGCAGGAAGAAACAGGAGATGTTCAAGAATTTTTTTTTAGAAGTAAATATTTGCTTTACATATTTTAGTAAGGTTTGTTTTCCATATCCTCTCATCATCCCCCACACACCATTTTTAAACTTGTTTGATACATAGAAAAGCAATTAATTTAGGGTTGTTTTTTTTAATTCGACCACTTAATTTGTTTCTAGTTGCTCTTGGATTTTCTTACGTAAATGAGTTGTCTTTCCTTCCCATAATTATTGTCATTTGGTTTTATTGCACCAGCCTGAGACGTCAAAAAAAATTTACATTACTTGTGGTCCATCCTTCTCTAGTTCCCGACTTTACAACTATTTCTAAAGCTTCACCATTAAGTATTATGTTAGGCATAGGTACATAGCTTTTATCAGGTTAAAATTTCTCTTCCCAGCTTAGGTGTTGAATTTTATCAATACTATTTTATTATCTATTAAGATTATGTGCTTTCCCCTCCTTCAATGTAAAGAATTTCAAGTGTTTACAAATATAGAAACAGTC